CGGGACCAAAGGCCCTCCTGCCTAGGCTCGGCGCACCGGCCACGTAGGCACATCTGTCCCGGTTCATGTTAGAATCGGGACTAAAGGGGGGAGGCATTAGTAACGATCCTTTAGTCCCGGTTCAAGAACCGGGACTAAAAGCCCTTACGAACCGGGACAAATGCCATGTTTTCTACTAATGGGCATGCCGTCACTTGGAAGATCCCGCAACTGTGACATGCTCTCCTTGTACCGACACCGACATGGCTGAGCTGTGAAGGAGAAACTAAGAGATGCCAAGGTGAACCAGCAAAGGACATGAGGAGTTTCTCCTTTTTTTTCAAGAAAAGAGCGAGGTCTGAAGTAGATATTTTGAGTAATACTACAAAATAACAAGAATATCTGGGACCCCAAAAGTTGTTAAAATTACAAATATTTATTTGATTTAAATACCTCACAAGATTTAAAACTGTAATTTTTGTAGAAAATTATAGGCTAAGGAAACTCATAAAATAAATCCAAGCAGAGCCTAACGGTAACATTTTTCAGTGGATTTCCTTTAACAAAAAAAAATATTAAAAAACCGGCCGATGGTTTCTCTTGGTTTCTGAGAAGTGGGCCGGCCCACTCGCTCGGTCGTGGTTTCCTTTCCTCTGCCCTCCTCCCTCCGATGGCGGGCGGCGATTTTCCTCCCGTGGCGGTTGCCACGGGAAGGGATCGGGAGGCGGATGAGCAGCTGTTGAAGAAGCAGAAGCCGGAGCCGGAGCAGCCGCAGCCGCAGCCGGCGGCGGAGGAGGCGGTGGGCGTCAATCCTCTCAGCCCGAGGTACAGCGAGTACGACCCCAAGCAGAGGGAGCACGTGTACACCCGCTTCTGCTTCGATCCCAGACTCGATCTCAACAAGGAGTGTAAGCCCCCGCGTCCCCCAACCGATTCTCCTGCAGGGTCGCTGTTGATTGCGCGTTGCCAACCTTGGGGGGCGCTTTGTACCGGTGTAATTTTGCACACAACACTAATAATTCTAGCATGGTATTGCGCTTTGTACTAGTGAGTCCGTCGGTTCAGAATTCAGAAACTCGCTTAAAGGAGTAGTATATGCGTGGTCGAGCTACCTGGTTGCACAACTAGGGTAAGTTTGCAGCCTGCTGTAAAAATCCTGCTGGCCTTTTCAACCATGATAGCTTACCAGTTCATCCACCATCCAGTTCATTCTTGAAATTTGTAACGCTAGTAAAGTTTACTACAACGTAAAGAGCACCACACCAATACAATTCATGTTACGCCATTCAACTCTTACCTGTTCTATAAAGGACAGACCCAGTGCATAGAAGCTCCCACACAAGGTGGGGTTTGGGGAGGGATTATAGGAACCTAGTCTTACCCCTGCAAAGTGCAATGCAGAGAGGCTGGTTCGAACCCAGGACCTCTTGGCACAAGTGGGGAGGACTTCACCACTGCGCCAGGCCTGCCCTCTCAACTCTTACCTGTTCTATAGTGACAATTAAATGATTGATTACACATGTACACACACTCTTCTGTTGGCAATGGATCCGTTCATTTTATACATGTGTAATGTGTTGGTATTCATGTACGTATTTGAAAGGTGTGTTCCTCTCTTTTCACAGCCCCTTATGGCCCAATGCGCCATACTCACAAAACCTTCGGAGAGGGATTCCCATTGTCTCACTCAGCAAATATTCTCTCAGTCAAGATTGTTTCCTCTGACTATGGCTACCCACTTAATGTCTATGGTACGGTCATAGCCAGGGATGATTTGGATCGCAAATGTGTCTATCTATTCCGGCGCGACAAGAAAAATCGCCAGTCCATCACCTCAGAGGTATTACTTATATTTTGCTTGCATGATAGCCAATGCACTTCTATACACATATAATTTCCCGGTGGTGTATTCACTGTATTGCTCTTGATATCTGTCATCTGTACAGTTATTTGAAATATGAATAGTGAATTCGTAATGGAGGGTTTATGATCGTCAATGGATTGTAGGCACATGAAACATATTTGCAACTTTGTGTGATTGAAAACTCCAATAAGATTATCCAACAAAGAATATATTCTATCGGATACTATATACTATATGGGTGCAGATATGGTATAAAGTAGAGTAAAATCTCTTTTATAACTGGACCGTCAGACAATTCTCGTATTTATCTATGGGGAACACTATTCAATGATTTTTTAAATGTGTTCCACATGATTAATCCTTATTTAGGCTCTGTATATTATATACTTAAACGATGGACCTCATAGATGGGTATGTCATGTTTGCTGTGCTGATATTATCAGTTTAATATATGTTGTTTTTAACGTCCACCAAATACTATAAAGTCTTCCCTTTTAGCGAATAATGTTAGGTGGCCTATGATTTGCCAATACTCCAGCATTTCAGTTTTGCTGTACCACAACCCTTGTGTGATTAAGAAGAGTAGACAAAATGCATGCAAATGTGAAACGTGCCTGAAAAGTATATCTATTCTGGTAATTTTGTTTCCTCGTTCAAACTCAAGCAAAGAAATTTAAAAGCTTCGATTTCAAACATAGACATTCCAAAAGATAACACCAGCAATTTATCTATTTGTACTTGTTTTGAAGGACAATTCTTTGATTTTGACTGGTCCAAAGAGAGGACTTGCGCTCTGCGGTTCGCTGTTCTTTGAAATCAATCTGAAGGTTAAGGATGTGCATGGGAGGGAGGTCAAGGATGAAAGACTCAGCAAAGGAATGCTGCAGATTAATGGCATTATAAGACAGACATCAAACTTCGAATATGGAGTCGAAACAGACATGCTTGTCAGCATGCACAGCACACTGGAGATGAACTTTGCATTTGTTAGGGACGCGGTGGAGGGCACTGTCGGGATCAGGATCCTTGAGGGGCCTGTTGATTTCCATGGTAAGATCATTGCTACCACCACTAGAGTTCTATGTGAAACTGTGTTACATGATAGCAGAGCGAATGGCTTGCTTACTGCCGGCAACAATCAAGTCATGCAAACAGCGTGCCGCGTGGTATGTGTATCTGTAGGTGAGATGCTCCTGGTGACTGTTGCTCCTGAAGGTGGCGATGAGCTCTCTCACCACACTGTTAGGTTTGCTTCAAAGCTCAACCTGTTATGCCAGCGAGAACATGGTGTGTGGTAATTATAAGATGCAATTGAAGGTCACTTGGTCAATTGTGATGTAATTCCTGGTTTACTAGTTGTGGTAGATCAGCTTTTAGATCCTTGGATGATTTGTAGCATCACCATGGGAAAAAAGGACGTCTTGGTAATGAGTGTAGTCCCTTTCATGGAATCTGGAAAGCTGAAGATCATATATGACCATGGTTTAATAGGGACAATCCATAACTGGTAAGATTTCTGTGCAACACCTTCTGTCCTAATACTTCCCATGCATTCATTTCAGATTCGATTGTTTCAGCACTGGCTAAGTGACTGTATAATTAAATTCTTAGAATCTGTGTTGTTCGGTGACACACAAGGTATAATTTTTATAACTATATCAGAGGTTTTAGTTTTTTGACCGAAAGAGGTTTTAGTTGCAGAAATAGGTCAACAATGTGGCAAGTCTTGATGAAAACCATACGAGAACCACATTTTGTGCTTCTCAAAGGGGTTTAACTGATGGGTGCAGGATACATTGTATATATAGTACGTATACAATTGCAAGCAGATGAAAAGCCAGATGCCTGTCTCCACATCGGGCGCCCTGTCTTGCCCAGTAGTTTCCATTCTTGATACACATTCATGCCAGAGCCTCTTCTTGGACTAGTACGATAATGCTTGCTGTCTCGGGTTCGTGGTAATCACTGAAACTTCTGCATTGGTCTGTCTGTGAACTTCCATACTGGATACTTCCTACTACTGTTACATACTCCTACAATTGACCATTGCTTGATTTATTTACTTATATGGTTCTTTGCTATGCTATATATATATACTGAACGAGCGAGTCATTCTGCTGGTCCAGATGAACCGCATCATGAGGCCTCACGGCACGCCATTATCAGAGACGAAGTTGCTGTCATAGACCACATCAAGAAGCTTGTACAGGCGCTGAGATGGGATGACTGATCATCCAGCTCCGAGGTGAAACCTAAGAAAGGCACGCTCTGGTCAGGCGATGAAAGAAAGAGTCTTGAACTCTTGATCGTGAGGAAAAAGCTATGGGATGCAAAATGGTTCATGTTCTGATCTTATTAAGCTGCTGATTTCAAAAATCCTACTCCCTCCGTCCCATAATGTAAGACATGTCACACGTCTTACATTATGGGACCGAGGGAGTAGGTGTATTTCTTAATTTCCAAAATTTGAACACTTTGGCTATCCTTTCTCCACAGTTTTGTGCCTGTAATGGAATGTTTTTGTGTCTGCGATGGAATGTTCACAGAGGAGATAAAGATAGGGGGTGTATGACATGCAAAATTGCAGACTTTGAAGGTGCAGAATTCATAGGACAGTAACAGCCGTAACAGTATATGGTTCTCGGAATGCTCATCTGTAGCATTTCACAGGACAGTAACACTACAAGGGAAATCAAAGGATCAACGATGCCAGGCGCCGGGTGTTCTCTCTACAAGCGAAATCAACCGGACTCTCGCTCAGCATTAGCAACCCTTGCGCAGCCTCCAGCGTCCTCTCGTCCGGCTCGCTGTCACTGGCAATCGGCAATGGGGGCGGCCGCGCCGCTCTGCTCCCGGCGTTGGCGGCGAGGATCTCCGCGATGGCGGCGTCGGCGTGCGGGGCGTCTCCCTGGCGGTAGTGCATGACGACGAGCCCGAGCGGGCCGCGCGGCTGGCCGGCGACGCCCACCTGCAGCGCGGGCGACCGGAACGCCCACAGCTCCACCATGGCCGGCTCCAGGTCCTCGGCCCTGGCGTCGCCCGCCACGTCCAGGCCGTTCTGGGTCAGGAAGCTGCCCCAGCCGGCGATGAGGCGGTAGGCGTCGTTGCAGCCCAGCTTCTTGAGGCCGAGCACGTAGGGCCTGCCGCGCCGGTCGAAGGCCTGCACCTGCACGCTCGGCTTCTCCTCCGCCGTCAGCGCCTCGTCCAGCGGGAACGGCTCGCCGCGCCGCCAGCTCTTGCGCGACATGAGCAGCCGGTGCTGCTGCAGCAGCCGGTCCGTCTTGCACAGCCACTTCCCGTAGACGCGCACCGGCCGCGACGCGCCCAGGTCCCTCAGGATGTCCCGCAGCACGCCGTCCACCACGCCGATCTCGTCCAGCGGGTCGTCCGCCGCCGTGGCGGGCGCGGACTCCATGCCGACGCCGGCCCAGAACACGCCGTCGAGCAGCCGACGCCGCTTCTTGCTCCTCTTGCTTGGGGAAGATTGGGCCCGGCGGCGGCAGGCGACGTGAGGCCGGAGCGCGGCGGCGGGGCCGGGCGGCAGGCTCTGGTCCGCGGCCAAGATCCTCCCCTCGCCCTCGCGCTCCCCTCCTTCTTCCCCGGCTTTCCGTTGCGCCGCCGCGGCGGCAACGGACGCCGCGGAGCAGCCGCAAGATCCGCCGCCCCCCTTGGCGTCCATCGACCCATGGCGGCCAATGCCCGTGGCGGCGGGTGGAGGCTTAGGCGCCGTCCTCCTCCGGCGAGGCACGCTCCCGACCTCCAACAGCGTCATGGCGAGAAGGGCGCTGTGCTGGCAGACATTTGTAGGTAGGGGAGGCGGCGGCAGGAGATGAAAATGAATACCTAGCTGCTACAGCTCTGGATTCTGGAACATAATATACGCGTGGATACTAGTACTAGAGTTTGGTACGGGCTCCTCTCCAGTACTACTACTGCTAGCAGGAAACTTATCAGTGATAAAAGCTTTCTTTTTTTAGAAGAATTTTATTTAGGACAGTAAAACTAAACTTAAACCCTAGTCCTCTCACGCGTCCGCGGCCTTTCGCCCTTGGATCCTGCGGCTTGGACATGCCTGACCGTCCGATGCATCATTTCCTCCTGTGTGGGCTGGTCTTGGGCCGACTGTCCTTGGGCTGCTATTCCAAGGGTCAAATCGGATGCCTCTCGTTCACTGCTACGGGTTAACGTCGTATTCCGAAAGAACGGTGGTGATTATGCTCTGTATCCACTCCCCTCTGTGAACCCTTTCCTCCGCTCTGCGAACCCCCACCCCTCCCAGTCCCACCATAGGTTAGAGAGAAAGAGAGATAGGTGACTGATGGCAGTCCGTTGTCGAAAGGTATGCCCATGTAGCGCCCGAGGATACAAAGACGTCTAAGAAAAGGGAAACAGCCGCCAGTCAATGAGGTCGCAAGGTTGCGGACTAGGCGTGGAGGCGGGCAAGTAATGGCGATAAAGCTCATCCGTCTGCGATGCGTAACCGCAGCGGCGGTCGAGGAGGTATGCCATTGCCCTATTTCCTTCCTTTTTGCATATATTTTGCTCCCTTCTATGTACCTTCGGCAGCCATGTTCGTTGCGTTGGGTTTGTATCCTTTCCACCTAAACTCTTAAACCATTTGGGAGTGATCCATGTTTTGTTGATATCACAAACTATGTTCTGGTGGTGTTTACATGGGTGATTGATTGTCGCCGTTGGTCATGCTTCATGCCCTAAATAAGGACCCTGTGTATATTCAGTGGCAACTAGGATTATGTCAAGTTTTCCATGGTATGATCGTCTTTCATCCCGCTCTCACCGGAGTTAAGACATGGCTCCGGGGCAGGTTAACCTTTGTTTATTCACTCTAACTCTACCTATTTCTCCTAACCGTGATGTGCTTTGCCTCGAGCATTGCTAGAGTGTAGAGTAATGGTGTATAAGTATGATAGTTTAAAAGAAGTATTATGGTGTGTTGCAGTAATAATTTTAAATTTTAAAACTACAGACCTTGCATCATTTTTTTGTGTGAATGTGGGCAGTGTGTTCAACTTGCATCATATTTTTGTTGTGAATGTGGGCAGTATGTTCAAGTTTATCTGGAACAATTTGAAGGGTTTCCTCAACACAAAATACTTCAACCAGGTTCACTTAAGCACCTCGAAGTATGTATAGAAATTTAAAATTATAATTGTTTCAGGTGCTTTGCCACTTTATGTATGCTTTGTTACAAAGTTTAATAACTGAACCTATTTGCTGTGTCGAACATTAGCATTTATTTGATCCTAATCTAATCCAGTTCGTCACCACCGTCTTTTGGCTCCCGCTTTCAACAATACAAATGCATTATCATTTATCTATTTTCTTGACACGATACTTTGGGAAACGGTTTAGACTTCTAGCCATTCTCTATTTATTGTCAGCACATCTTAAAAAAAATGAATAATGTTTCCTCCATATATGAATGACAAACACCCAGGTTTGAGGCCCTCGCTGGGAGGTAACACCCCTACTCCTGCATCTCTGAAATATATGTGGAATATGTAGCAATACAAAGTTACTCCTGAAGCCTTTTTACAGAAGGTAGTGGGGAGCTATGAGCTTCATGCCTCATGCATATGAGTGTGAGTGTGAGAGGGCGTGGGTTGCCTTGTGTGGCCGAATGAGCATGGATGGATGTATGCGTGAGTGTGTGGCTAAGGAGTCGTGGGTGAGCATTTATGTATGTGTGAGAGTGCTCACCCCTTGGCCAAGTAAGTGCCTTCTTGGGCAAGGGAATGACTTCCCTCTCCAAGGCAGTGTTTTCTGGGTTACTTTATGCATTAGTGTCCAAGGACAAGTAACACTATACATGATGTTGGGTATGACAAGTGAACAGTGTATGATTTATCAGCAATAGTGGCCATGGTATGGCCGCGGTATGGCCGTCTTGTTGGTGTCGGGTCGATGCATCGGTTGACTCTGCGCAGCAGACCAGCTGGAGCAGCCGGATGGCGAGCCGGCCGGAGCAGCCGGGCAGCCGGACCAAGGGACGCTGGATGCCCCGATGTTCTGAAGCGTCGTATCGCCGTCTTGGGCCTACTCGGGGTCATCCCACGACATATATATTGCGAAAATATGTCTCAGTTTATTGGACAAATCGATGGACACCGAAACACAAACATTATGGTCTATTATAATTAACATCTTACACTATAAATGCACATAAAAATATGATCAATTATAAGTAACAACTTACACTACAAATACACTCAATATAATATAATAAAATATTATTACTTGTCTACTTATATTTTAACATAATTTTAAACACTATCATGCATGAATCAAGCTGGATGGGCGTAGCAACATGCACTATCAATGTTAGAGTCCTCCTAATAACCACACAATAGATTTTTAATTTCCCATTCCCTAACTCTAATTACCCAACCAAAACGTTATGAGTTCTGGATCAAGGGATTATGAGGTGTTATTGTTAGAAAACATACCCCACCTAGAGGTCTCCCCTGCTTATCCTGACCGAATAATGATGGCCATGGTTCCCTAATGGCCGTTGACCTTGGCAAGCACATATGTCGCGGTGGATGATTATGTTCATTAACTATTATGTTTGGCACTTTTGTGTATATTGATTAGAGGCATATGTTTTTCTTAAAAAACAATCACAACCATTTTTCTTTCATAATCACATCAACACATTTGCGAACTCTACAATTTGCAAGTTACATCCGCAATGGATTGAATAAAATGCGCCTACAACCATTATACTTGTATCTTATATACACATTCGTCAAGCACATTCAGAAATTAAACTTATGGTAAGTGAATACTTCCGAGTGTGACAATATGGACATTGAGCTCAACATTTTCAGCCTATGTTGACCATTTGGCCACACTAGTTAGACGCATGCATGCAAAGTGGGGCCGCACGTGTTTTTTCCTACTTGCCACAACATTGGGGCATGGTATGCTCTCCCACTCCTCATGTATCCGCCCGATCGCCTACGCAGGTGCCGGCTCCATTGCCTCCACAACTATTCACACTCCACTTGATGGTTCATAGGACAATATGGTCATGTAAATGGTAATCCTCGTTCGTAGATATATGCCATTTTTTTGAATTGACGCTTGGACATTTTGCTTTGATTATTTATTTTCGTTACAACATGTTAATATGAAGCATAAAACCATAGAGTTAAAAAAGGCATAAAACTGTGATATTATCAAAATGCCTATCATTAGTCATACACTTTTCACATGATCCCTTTGAGGCATCCTTTTTGTTATATTATAACTAACACTATGTTGTTACTAAACATCCAAGTTACAAGAAACACTTTTTTTTGCGGGGGTAAAGGGAGTTTTATTGCAAGATTATAGAGTTACAGTCTTGAGGCCACATATCCTTAATACACGGCGGTACTGAGTCCAACCACACAGCAGTAGTTCGCTCTGTGCGGCTATAATTGGCCAGTCGATCGACAACTCTATTTTAAGAACGACTAATCTTCAGAGGAAAAAACTCTCTGATACTTAACAAGTCCTTGATTTCCAACACTAGGTGGCCATAAGCTGACCTGCAGAGCGCACTATTTGATAGGCTGGATAAGGCTTCAGAGGAATCCGACTGCACCACCACCGCAAGGACCGAATGTTGTATAGCTAGTGCCATGCCTTGCATTAACGCATGTAGTTCCGCCTCCAGTGAATCATTGCAGTGGAAGATAAATGGATAGGCTGCGAAAAGGATTGCTCCTTCACTATCCCTTAGAACCATACAAGCAGCTGCAGAACCGTCAGCCTTCTGGAAGGAACCATCAACAGAAAGGGCCACCATCCCAGCTGCCGGCGCCGGCCATGGAAGCGTGGGAGATATGCCAGCTCTCGCCGCTGGGGTGACATCCAGGGTAGACATCTTGCCTTTTAAGATTTCATCAGTTTTGAAAGAAACTGTAATTACAAACTAGTCTTGGGATGATTCTTTGCCTCCTCCATGTTGCACACACGATGGCGTGTACAAATTTCTTCCCACCGTCGGAACGAGAGAGCAATTATGCACGCAGTCGGGAAGGCCATCTAACTCTGCTAGGAAGCGCGGGTGAGGTCAATCCAATCCGGAAGGACCCATTGCCCCGTGGCTTTACCGCGAAACTTAGCCGGCCAGTCAAATGACACGAGTGCCAATTTTGATTGCGTATAAGTCCTAACCGATCAAATGCCACGAGTGCATAATAGCTAGTACAAAAGTCGACAACAAACGGGGATTCCTAGTTTCGAACACAGTCGACACCATGGGCATACCAAAAATTCAGTTGTGATGATGTCAGTTCATCCAAATGACCCAAATTCAGCAACTGTTTCCGGGAGCATACTAGGAGTTCGGATCATCTTCCCATTTCAGTTGTGTAAATATTTTTGCTGAACTTTTCGAAAATTTGACGAAATTTCCGCTGAAAACGAGAACCTGGTCGCGGATTCGCGATTACCCACACTCGGGAGATCCCAACAGTTCCCACTCCTCGCACCGACGCAGCCATGGCCGAGCTGCGGCACGGCACGGTGGCGGCGGCGGCGGCCCGCGCCTCCGGCTCGCCCGCGAAGCGCGACGCGGAGGCCGCCTCCGCCTCCGCATCCTCTCCCTTCCTCTCCTCCCCACGCGGCGACGGCGGCAAGGACGGCGCGCTGCGCCCGCCCCCTCCGCTCCACCAGAGGTACCCGCTCCCGGCCGCCGTCCGCGCCCTCCTCGCGCTGGAGGACCCCCGGTCGCCCTCCGCCCCGCCCTCCTACCGGATCCTGCTCGCCGTCCTCGCCTGCGTCGCCCTCGGCGCGCTCGTCTCCGCCCCCTCCGTCTGGTCGCGCCTCGTGAGTCCCCGATCCCGTCGTCTCATCGGGATCCCTGATGCTTGCTTACATTCGTGTTGTTGTTGGACCCTAGAACGCGCCCTACCTGTGCCGCAAGGATGGGATTCGGCTCCAGTGCCCCGGGGTAAAGTGATGTTGATCTCAGCTTGCATCTCGGTGGATATCTGTGCGTGCAATCTGTTTTACCGTTTGTTTGTTCGGCTTGGCTTGGTGTTGTTACTGTTCAGGTGAGCAACTCTCTGTGGGAGAATCCGCATGCCGCCGCCACGTCTTGGAAGCCATGTGCTGAGCGACGCAGCGACGAGATCTCAGGCAAGTGCTGAAGTTGATCGCTCCAGTAGAAATGCCGAATGCGATTAAAGATGTTCCATAACTGTATGGCTGTATATTCTCCATATAATTTTTGTTGGGTGTCTTTTCCATTTATGTTCATACTACCGCAAAGTCGATATGCTGCCTGGATAGTTGATAAAATTTGATCAGGACCATAAGTAACACGAACAGTTGACCTGCATCCTATTATCCTAAAGGGTAAGTTGTGTTGATGTCAATCAAGGGCTGAACTGCAGTTGCCCTTTCATTCACCTAGAATTTTGGCTTGGTCTTAGGCTTCAGAAAAAAACTTAAGAGTTAACCATCTAGTGCGAAAGTGCTAGTTTCCCCCTCCCAGAGAATGGGATAGTGGCAATAATACCCCTCACTGGTCAAAATAGAAATAACACTAGAGGCTAGACGTAGTATATTTGGTAAGAAGATATACCAAGCGTAAGTTGGCTGGCTGGAGAGATAAAAGATAATGACTTACCTTGAGATGAGGATACAATTATGATATCATTTGTGAGAGCACAAGTGGAAAGGGAACCCAGAAACAAAATACTCTACATTTCTTTCTTTAACAGGTCGTTCAAATCTTGTTACCCCTTTCCATGTTGCTTCCTCTTGGGGATAAGGAGTTCTCTACATAGCTTGACTAAGATTAAAGTGAAACTGTTTGGGTGCCTATCCTCTGTTTCTGTTCATCACGATAACTTAAGAAAAATACGAAAACCATTCACTGAAACCATGGTTGCATCCTGATGAGTATCAATTTTGTCTTTTCTCTCTACTATTCTGCAGATCTTGTGTCAGAGAACGAAACTTCTGGGTATATTTTTATTCATGCTGAGGGTGGATTAAACCAGCAACGCATAGCTGTACGTATGTGCCCTATTCACAATTATCAGTTTATTGAACCTTTTTGGGCCTTAATAACATCATCATTCTTATTATTATTATTGTTATTATTTCCATGCTTCGGTTTCAAAGGACATAGATTTAATGACTTGTTATGCAACATTTGCTTATGTAGTAAATGTTACCTTGCCTAAGTTGTATCAAATACTGTCAGTTAATTGCACTACTTGATATATTCGCAGATATGTAATGCTGTCGCAATTGCTAAGATAATGAACGCCACACTTATTTTGCCTGTGCTGAAGCAGGATCAAATATGGAAAGATCAAACGTAAGTGATAATTCTGATTTCCTTTTGAATGGACTCCTCCTTGCTTATGCCCCTTTGAAATTTGTATCCATTATCATGTTAGCTCCTGGCAAGTGTTTAATATCTGACAACGTTGTATGTTCAGGAAATTTGAAGATATCTTTGATGTAGATCATTTTATAAATTATTTGAAGGATGATGTGCGCATTGTTCGAGATATTCCTGACTGGTTCACAGAAAAAGATGAGCTGTTCACCAGTATAAGGTTAGTTTCTTCATTTCATCTTTTGGTCTGTCTTAGCTGCCTTCAGTTTGAAAGCTTGATACTAAAGTTTGAACACATGAATGGTATTCATTTTTAAAGCATTGCTTTCTTTTGTTAAAATCGACACTAATATTGTTAGAGAGGGAATTACTGTTGGAGCGTATTAATCTGAACAAGCCAACTAGGTGACTTCGGCTGCTTGTTTGTGCTCTGCACTTTACAAACTTACATACGCATTTCTCATGTTTGTTATATTGCTATGCAATAAATTGCTAATGTAATAACAGCGCAACTAGAGTCATCTCTGCTTCAAACCTCATAATTGACTCCCCAAGTATAAGTCTGCTTGTCCAATTCAGACTATTATATTGGATGCCGTGAGTTCTGAGGGTGCAAGCGGATCACAATGGTTTTTTGCTTCTGCTCATTCCACTTTGTGACATTTTTATCAATCATTAGATAATTTTGCCATGCTGGTCGATACTGCAATCCCACTTTATTATAGCGGTTTGAACTACAGTAGCCGCTGTCATATGTGTTATTCATAATTAGTTGACACTGGTATATTGTGTGGCATGATAGTTTGCTGGCTGACATATAGTTCCTTTTACTTGCAACCTGGCTTATCAAGTATCAACATTCAATACATCTGGTCTGTCTGCCAGATATGATTAAATTCTGCCAATTTCTGTGACTACTGCGTGTGAAATTTTGTTAAATGTTAGTACTGCCAGCTGCTAAATGGTGCCTATTTCTACATTTACTTCATGGTTTGATAAATGTGCTTATGTTTCTTTGTTTTTGCTTGCTGATGTTGTTTTCCTTTCGTGCCTACATATTTTCATACTTAATTGTCACGTCTAATTATGTATGTTGATTTTAACAGGCGTACTGTAAAAAATATCCCAAAATATGCACCAGCGCAGTTTTATGTTGATAATGTACTTCCAAGGATCAAAGAGAAAAAGATAATGTCTATCAAGCCATTCGTTGATAGATTGGGGTAAGTCTTCACATCATTTTATGAAGATGTTTTCTGGCTTTATCTTGATCATATATCTTCAGATTTGTTACATAACTGCTTAGCCCTGTGACTAAATCTTCACATTAGAGTCTTTTGTGGTCAAGTATATTGCTCCCTATTACCCCTCTCCCCCCTTGGCCCTTCACCCCACCCAGTTTATTTATTTCTTGCTACTTTGTTCACGACTTGTGACCATAGTGTAATGTAAACTTATTATTTCAGATATGATAATGTTCCAATGAAGATAAACCGGCTCAGGTGTAGAGTTAATTATCACGCATTAAAGTTTCTACCTGGCATTGAAGAAATGGCTGACAAGCTGGCAACAAGGATGCGGAATCGAACTGGAAATGTAAATCCATACATGTAAGTGTAGCACGTGATCTTCAGAGTAACCTGCCCTGGAGTCGGCAATTTTTTACATATCTCACCATCAGTTATTCTTGCTTTTGAAGGGCTCTTCATCTTAGATTCGAGAAAGGAATGGTGGGTTTATCCTTTTGTGATTTTGCTGGAACCAGAGAGGAGAAAGCAATGATGGCTGAATATAGACAGAAACAATGGCCAAGACGCTTCAAGGTGATGTACTAATATGAATTCTCTAGACAATGATTTTAGCCTGAGGAGAATAAGGTCACAGAGTACAGTAGTTACATATATTTCTCTTGTATATATGCAGAATGGATCTCACCTTTGGTCTTTAGCACTGGAAAAGAGAAAAGAAGGCCGCTGCCCGCTTGAGCCTGGGGAAATAGGTTTCATTCTGCGTGCAATGGGATATACGAAGGAGACTCAGATATATGTTGCATCAGGGCAAGTGTATGGTGGAAACAATAGAATGGCACCGCTGAGGAATATGTTCCCCAATTTGGTAGGTGTTCTACTGCAAATCCTGTTTGTTGCCTTCAAACTTCAAAGTGCCTTTGTATGGACATAATGGGAAACTACAGATTCCGAAAGGAAACTGAGACAATTACCTTTTGATGGGCAAGCAATCATCAGCAGGTGGATTTGTTGTAGAGACAACTGACCCATTATCTTTGTTGCTTGCAGGTTACCAAAGAAGATCTCGCAAGCAAGGAGGAGATAGAGCATTTCAAGAAGCATGTAACCAGCCTTGCTGCATTGGACTTCCTGGTATGCCTGAAGTCGGACGTATTCGTCATGACCCATGGCGGCAATTTTGCGAAGCTGATCATCGGGTTCCGCCGCTACATGGGGCGGCATAGGCTCAAGTCTATCAAGCCGGACAAGGGGCTCATGTCGAAGTTCTTCGGCGACCCCTACATGCCATGGGCGACTTTCGTGGAGGATGTGATGATCACTCACCAGACACGAACAGGCCTCCCCGAGGCCACCTTCCCGCACTATGACCTCTGGGAGAACCCTCTCTCCCATTGCATGTGTAGAGCATAAACTATATAGACTACAAGTGATTGTGCATAGCTTAATTAATTCCTTTGTTCATACAGATCCATCCTATAACTGTAAGTTCATATAACTATTTTTTTTCACGTCCAGTTTTGTTTGTGTAGAGTTTTTCATCTAGAAACACTACATGTATATGAAAGTTCAGCTGATGCATATGAATTTCCCAAAAATAGTTTGTGCATAATAATTACATGATTGAACAAACAATTTTCACTTCAACGGTGTAGTTACAGAGATTTAGGGCCTGTTCGGAGTCCCTCCTGCTCCGTGACTCCGCTCCCTGAGCAGCCCAAGCCGCAGTTCAAATTTATGGAGCGGCGAAGCGGCGAAACGGATACTCCGCGGATCCTTGGATTTGGCGGAGCTGGTGGTTTCCCGAACAGCTCCACAGCTCCTTAATCAAATCAAATACAGTTGACATGATTCATTCATTGATGAACTGACTATGAAACCCAAGAATGCTATCCTTCAGCAGAACAAATAATTTCGGAAGAACAGCTAGTTGGACATTTGTACTACAACTTGCCGAACGTCGAGCCTCTTTGCTTTAGAGTTTATTTAGGCTCGACGTACAGCGTGCGCCTGCACATAGGGCACGTCTTGCTCTCCACGAGGACGCTCTCCAAGCACGCGCCATGGAAGACGTGGGGCTTGCCGCACCCAGGCCACGCGGCGAGGTCGTCGCCCTCGAGCAGCTGCAAGCAGATGGGGCAATCCTCCCCGGCGGCGACAACCCTCCTTCGCTTTACTGGCCGTTCACCGGCGTCCATATCATCGTTGGCTTCGTCTTTATCATGGTCGCGCCGCATCGGCTCTGGCAGGTGCAATTCCATGCCGGTGAAGCGCACGGGCCACGGCTCCTCCACCATGTCCTCCAGCGCGGGGCGCATCCACTCCATGCGCTCGGGCGTGTAGTACGACCTCCGGAGCATGCCGTCGACGTCATCGACGAACAACGACCTCCGGAGGATGCCGACGTCGACGAACACCTCGACGCGCGCGGCCCGCGGCAGCACGCTCACCTGCGCCGCCAGGCTCAACCATAGCTCCTGGAGCTGCTCGCTGAAGTGACCGGGGTATATCAGCCGGGGCAGAGACGATCCGGCCCACGCCAGCGACCTCGCCGTGTGGTCGCCGGTGGCCATGAACCGGAGCAGGTGCTTCTTGGTGCTCCCTCGCACTACCACGCCGTCCGATGATACTGAAAAAGGGGCGTAGCGGTAGAGCACCAGGATCTGCTTGCTGTCTGCGTCTTCTTCTTGGTCCTCCACGGCGGCGACCCGCATGCAGCCGGCCGTACACCCAGCGTCGGCGAACCACGGCGCCGGTCCTCCAAGAAACCGCCCCTCGGGGACGTACTCCATTTCCACCAGCTCGTCATCGCCGGGGCAGCTCATGTCGAGCTCGTCGTCGGCCGTCCCCAGTTCAGGTGGCACTGTGAGAAGGAAACCGTATAGCCGAACGACGGCGTGGGCAGCGGAGTAGACCTCCAGCGAGAACTCCTGGTTCATCACCGGGGACCTCAGCACCAAGTTGGGGCTCTCCGGCGACAGCACGAACGTCTCCATCTCCTCGCCGGTGTTGGCGTGTACGGCTACGGCCACGCGCACGCTCTCGTCGGTTCCGTCAGCTGTCGCCCAGTCGACGAGCTCGGCGATGGCGACAACCGCCTGCTGGCTGGCGCCCAAGGGAAACCTCGTGGGCTCGCCGCTGCTGAGGTCCCTGGTCCAGCTCTGCGGCCGCCGCGACATGCCGGACCGACTTAAGGGATTAGGGTTTAGAGTGACTTTAGAGACAATCTCGCGCGCGGCGTGTTAAGGTAAGCAGCCATGCATGTCTGCTGCCGTGCTGTGAAATCTTTTGTGCCGACTCCAAATTGAGTTCCGGAGCAACATATATCCTGATAACCTGCCGATTCCAAGTTCAATTCGGACACTTTTCCGTTTTCCGTTATCCAACGCACAAGGCAAATCTCAGTTCAGCTCAAAATGGACTGAAAATTTCCTTTGTTTTTTGAGAACCAGCAGCTTTTTTTTCATGTTTTAGTGAAGTATATAGGAAATGTTTGTGCCCGTCCGACCGGTTGAAACTTTAGCCGGTCGCGCGCGAGCCACGTGATCAAGCCCATCATACGTCTAGCACAACTCCCTGCCTGACTTATCATATTTTCCTTTGTCTTCTTTCTCCCGACCCCCTTCTTTCAGCCGCTTGCCTTCTTCCTCCGGGTCCCCTTCTCTCTCTCGGTCGCTCCTCGTCTTCCTCCTTCAGATCCCACAGCCGGCTAGCCCCAATCCCGCATAGGTCCCCACCTCCAAACTCAGCATCCATGCCCACTTCTTTCACTGCCACCGTCTTGCAGGTTCCTTCCGCCCCGCGAGCCGGAGTTGGAAAGCCGCCATGGACATGTCGTTTGCGAGCTTCTACTCACAGTTTCCCATGCTGGAACCATCCACTGGAGATGCTACAACCACGGCGGCGCGACCTCCTCCCCCACCGCCGCAACCATCTCCTCCCAAAACGAACTTGAAAACTTTTTTTGCTCCTCCAATGATGCTGCAACCGACGACCCAAAAAGCTACAACCGTTTGATTCGAAAGCTTCAACCCGCGTCATATAAAGCTTCAAGCATACACCGTGTACTAATAAAAGTTACAATCGTCCATATGAAGCTTCAACCGTAGTTTGAAAAAGTTTCGACGGACCACCCGTGCAACTGAAAAAGCTACAACCATTCATGTGAAAGCTTCAACTGTAGTTTTTAAAAGCTTCGACCTGTGAAATAGAGAAGTTCCATTCGACCACTACGAAATAAAAAAAGATACAACCGTCGAATTGGGAAGCTGCAACCGTTGAATTGAAAAGCTTCAACCCACTTTGTAGAAAGCTTCAACCGGATTTATAGAAAGCTTCAACCTTCCGAGTACACAACGGAAAAGTTCCAATTGTTGACATGAAAAGCTTCAACCCTATTTTTGAACAGTTTCAACCAGATACCGACGGCAAAAGCCGGAACCAGCACCTCACCATTGATGCAACTGACAACTGTGATGGCTTCACGACGGAGCTGCAGTGTTGATGAGTTCCAGGGGCAGGCGGGAAGATTTTTTTTTGGGTCCGATTTGCTGCATAAGGGGGGCGGGCCATGGGGCACCAGTGCATCAACCGGCGAGCGGTGTCGATAGCACAATGACCGGTGCGAGCTGGCGGTGCTTCAAGGTCGCACATCCATCACGGGGTCGACGGGCTCGCGGCCCTCTATGCATGCTGGAGACGAAGAAAAGGATAGGGAAAGAAAACAGAAAAGATGAGTTGAGATCTGACCGTCAACGTCCCCTCAATCCAACGACTGCTAGGCGTCTAGCCGAAAGTTGGGCCAGCCGGCTGGCGCCTAGCGTCGCCCTTTCTTAAAACTATACATTTTAGAAAAGAGAGAAGCCCATAAGAGAAAAGAGAGAAAAAATAAGCCCATAATACACTAGTAGAAAACATGCCATTTGTCCCATTCCAGAGGCCCATTAGCCCCGGTTCTAGAACCGGGACTAAAGGGTCGGGACTAAAGCCCAACACCTTTAGTTCTGATTCGCTTACGAACCGGGACAAATGGTGCTCCACGTGGCCGATGCGGGGCGCCCAGGCAGGAGGGCCTTTAGTCCCGATTGGTAACACCAACCAGGACCAAAAGGCATCCACGCGTCAGCTGCTCAGGACCTGATTTTTTGTATTTTTGAAGGGGTGGGGTGGGGTGGGGTGATGTCTACTATGCAACTTTATTCTTGTAGTCACGTGTTGGGTCTCCAAGTGCAGAGTGTTGTAGGACAGTAGAAATTTTCCCTCAAGTGGATGACCTAAGGTTTATCAATCCGTGAGAGGTGCAGGATGAAGATGGTCTCTCTCAAACGACCCTGCAACCAAATATAAGAAATCTCTTGTGTCCCCAACACACCCAATACAATGGCAAATTGTATAGATGCACTAGTTCGGCAAAGAGATGGTGATAAAAGTGTAATATGGATGGTAGAAATATATTTTTATAATCTGAATAAATAAAAACAGCAAGTTAGCAAATAGTAAACGGGCACAAAAACGGTATTGCAATGCTTGAAAATGAGGCCTAGGGTCCGTACTTTCACTAGTGCAACCTCTCAACAATGCTAATATAATTGGATCATATAACTGTCCCTCAACGTGTAACGAAGAATCACTCCAAAGTTCCTATCTAGCGGAGAACATAAGATGAAATTGTTTGTAGGGTACGAAACTACCTCAAAGCTATTCTTTCCGATCAATCTATCCTAGAGTTCGTACTAAATTAACACGAGGCTATTCTTTCCGATCGATCTAACCAAGAGTTCGTACTAAAATAACACCAAAGAAAATTCATATTCTTAATATTCAATCCAACACAAAGAATTTCAAAGAGTGCTCCAAGATTTCTACCGGAGAAACAAAGACAAGAACGTGCATCAACCCTTATGCGTAGATTACCCCAATGTCACCTCGGGAATCCGCGAGTTGAGTGCCAAAACATATATCAAGTGAATCAATACGATACCCCATTGTCACCATGAGTATTCAATTGCAAGACATATATCAAGTGCTCTCAAATCCATAAAAGTATTCAATCCGATAACAACAAAATCTCAAAGGGAAAAACTCAATTCATCACAACAAGATAGAGAGGGGAAAACACCATATGATCCGACTATATTAACAAAGCCCGCGATACATCAAGATCGTGACATCTCAAGAACACGAGAGAGAGAGAGAGAGAGAGAGAGAGAGAGAGAGAGAGAGCTACTAGTACAAACCTTCAGCCCCGAGGGTGGACTACTCCCTCCTCATCGTGGTGGCCGCCGGGATGATGAAGATGGCCACCGGAGATAATTCCCCCCCTCCGGCAGGATGCTGGAACGGGGTCTAGATTGGTTTTTGGCGGCTACAGAGCCTTGCGGCGGCGGAACTTCTGATCTAGGTTAACCCCGAGG